GTGTGTGTATATATATATGTATATACACATGTACTCATATATATAAAAGTGTGTGTACACACAAAAGTGTATACACACTTTTATGTATATATAAGAGTGTATGTGTATATCTATATACGTACTCTTACACACCCTTCCATAGATCAACAGATTACTTAGTGCCTGACAGAAATTCTCCGTCCATCCAAATCAGAAGCGCCGCAGCAGAGGGATGCGGTTTGCCTTGATCCCACGGTCAGTGGCCACATGCAGTGGTGACAGATAAAAGAGCTCCAAGAACGAAGTCCTGAGGGAAGGGCGGTCTCTGAGCTACCACCAATCCCCCCCAGCCCAGCCCTTCAGGGTGGACTCCCCATGTGGACAGGTGTTCCAAACACAACTGTGCTGACCAGGGAGGCTTACAAAAACAGTTATATGTCCACCTGCTCTAAGTCATACTGGTGGTACTTCAGAATCTTGATCACTACTGAGTACTTCAGTAGCTTGATTAGGAATTCCTTTTTTAAACAGTGTTGCCAGTTCTTGTGCTGCCCCTTTGCAGCTCCTTCCCCCAGCAGACACGTCCCTCTTCTGCTGTGGACCATCTCTCTATTCTTTCTGTGTGTCTGCAGCACCCCTGCGAAGTTTGTTAGCTCATCTATCGATCTTTGAAGCACCTTTATTCTCCTGCCAGGCTGAATCAAAAGGGATACCAGTTAACCACTTGGGGAATTAGTTGACTGTTGCCATCAGCTTCGCTTTTTGAGCTAAGAAGTTAAAAGTCAGAGCCTTGCAGACCCATTTTCCTCAGAAGAGCTTGGTGTCTACTGATGCAATCTCATTTATTCCAAAATCTGACTTCACCATCAGCAGCAGGCGGTCCTCAGCGTTTCTAATCAACACCATAGTGTCAAGGGCTCCGTAGTCCTGCTCCTGCTTAAGGAGGCACAGGGGTTCAGCCCAACCTGCAAAGCTTCTCAGTTTCTCCACCCCCTCCAAGTTGGCAAGCTGCTCTCTGGTGCCAGCTGGAGACAGATTGAAACATCTAGATTCTCTCCTGAATTAGCACGGTATTTTAGCACGTGTCTGCACCTGGGAGAAGGACTTTGCAGGTCTGGCCTGTCGGTTATTGAAATGACCTTAAATTTTAGTCTGAGCTACCTTTCCTTTGTCTACCATGAAGTGTACAGGCATATAGAGGCAGAGTTAGCCAAGTAAGTCCCTATTTTTAGGGAATTCCAATGAAAATCACCCAGGCAAATCATCTGCTGAGAGAGATTGTACTTACTGTGCTGAATGATTTATTAACAAAGCATAAATATCTCGCATAGAAAATTTTATGGGCTTATTGCCAGATTGCACATAACTTCTGAGACAACATCAGAATGCATTCTCCTCTCAGGCACTGGCGGTGTCAGGCTGGTGCTAATGAATGGGCACACAGGGAATTACTTTCACTTTTAATGAAGAGACAGGAATATAAAGATTACACGGAAAAGTCTGATACACTTGAAGCGCTTTCTTGGGCTGTAGCACTTTGCCAGACCATTATTTCTCCCCTTCCATTTCCCTTTCTCCTGCTCTGTCCCCATGTTGTGCTGCTTCTTGCTCAGAAGTACCTGACTGCACCACCTCCTCCTCCTCCTCCTGCCACTTTTTGGCTTCTGGTAGCCAGCAGCAGACAGAAATCAATTCCTACTGGCAGCTGCAGGCAGGGTCTTGCTTTCCCTCATGTGTGAGCAGTCCCAGAAGCAGGATGTCAGGTTCCGGTATTTCAGCAATAAGCCAGTCCCATGGATGCTGTGAGTGACGGTCAGCCTGTGTTCCAGCACCACAATCCTCCACTACCATGCAACTATCGCGCATGTCGTCACGCGGCACACACAGGACAACCAGGCGATCAGGCCCAGTCGTCACGTGTCCATAAAAGGCAGGTCCTGCTTGATGAACCCAATCTCCTTCCACAACAAGGGGACCCACCTAGTGGATGAGGGAAGGGCTGTGGGTGCTGTCTACCTAGACTTCAGTAGGTTTCCCACAGCATTCTCACAAAAAAACCTGGCTGCTTGTGGCTTGGGCAGCTGTCCACACTGCTGGGGAACACATGGGCTGGGCAGCCAGGCCCAAGGAGCGGTGGGGAATGGAGCGAAATCCAGCCGGTGGCTGGTCACAAGTGGTGTCCCCCAGGGCTCAGTACTGGGACCTGCTGTTCAATAACTTTAACAATGATCTGGATGATGGCGTTGAGGGCACCCTTAGTATGTTTGCAGATGACAGCAAGCTGGGCATAAGTGTTGATTTGCTTGAATGTAGGAAGGATCTACAGAGGGATCTGGCCAGGCTGGATCGATGGGCCGAGGCCAAGTGTATGAGGTTCAACAAGGCCAAGGGCCAGGTCCTGCATTTGGGTCACAACAGCCCCAGGCAATGCTCCAGGCCTGGGGAGGAGTGGCTGGAAAGTGCCTGGTGGAAAAGGACCTGGGAGTACTGATTGGCAGATGGCTGAAGATGAGCCAGCAGTGTGCCCAGGTGGCCAAGAAGGCCAAAGGCATCCTGGCCTGTATCAGAAATGGCGTGACCAGCAGTGCTAGGAAGGGATCATCCCCCTGTACTCAGCACTGGTGGGGCCGCACCTCAAGTATTGTGTTCAGTTTTGGGCCCCTGACTACAAGTTACTTTGTTGTGTGCACTATTCCTCAGGTAATCCTCACAGTTGATGATAATTACTAGTTCTTGTTCTGGTTTACTCGGTGTTGGTCCCTTTGGTATCTGCATCCTTCTAGAAAGCGTTTCAGTGTCAGTATTTCACTTGCCCAGATCTTTTATGAAGCCAGCTCTGGAGCACTGCTAAGATGTGCTTCAGATGTGACTGCATGGTGCACTGTGATTGAGGCCAGCCTGAGCCACTGGCTTTAGCCGCCTATGTCTGTCTTGGGGTGGGAGGAAAGATGCTATGTATCTTGAAGCCCTGTCCAATCCTAGTTTTGGTGGTTCTCTGAAAGTTTCCTGGCATGTGGCAACTTACTTAGCTTTTGTTCTCAAAGACAGAACTTCACATAGCATCTGGAGGGGACAATGCCAACCAAGCGTGCTGTGTTATTTTCTTAAATGAGTTTACTGGCATAAGCAGAGCCAGCCATTCCCACAGTAACTTCTGCTGCCGCCTGCAGCCTTCCTGCAGAAAGTAAACGAGAGACAGCCAGTCAGTCTGTCAGCCTGCCTGAACAGCATGGTAAAGAAATAACATCCCTTTTGCAGTATTTACTGGAACGGCCCAAGTGAGCCTCCCAACGAGTCTGTGGCTGGCACAGGCCAAGCAGGAAGGAGCCAGGAAACAGTGTGCTATGACAAATCTGGTGGTGGCTGGGGCAGCCAGGGTGCTCTGCTTAGCTGCAGAAGCACCCAGTCTCCTTTCCAGAATGCAGAGCTTCTCAGTGACTGTTATATAGTCTCCTTCCAAGCCTGAGCCTCGTCTTTCATACTCATCTGGAAATGCTTCTCAGCCAGAGGAGGCTGCCTTTTTCAAGAAGAGTTAAACAGCAGAGCTATGAGATGGTGGCATGTGGTTCAGCATGGCTTGTACAAGTTTTATGAAGATGCTAGGGACAACTCGTAGTGACAGTCCTTGTGTCTTTGCTGTGTGGCAACTGGTATCTCCAGTATACCAAAGAGGGTACTCATCCTCCTTCACTCTGGGGATCCCTCTCCTCCTGAGCTGGACCCCAGCTGTCTCTGGGAGGAGGTTATTTGGCATCTCTTGATCTCCGAAGAGGACGCTGGTTGTCAGGGCACCTGCAGTGCTGCTTAGCTCAGCAGGTCACGGTTTATAGGTAGGTGGGGAATACTAGTCTCAGCATGCCAGAAAGGCAGGTGCTGTTAATGTTCTCCAGGCTGAGATGCTGTCATGCAAAGGCAATGATTATTTAAATTGTTTCCTTATACACTAAATACTTTTTAAATACTTGGACTTGAAAGTATACTCCTGTAAAATTTGTAACTTTGTAAAAACTGTGCCTGATGTAAGCACGAGAAGTGAAACGGCAAAACATTAAAACTCAGCTAGTTACACACAACTGTGCAAGCTAGAACATTAAATGACATGTCCAGAATCTAGATTTTTATTTTAAGAGCTATTGCATGGACAGCTGAACCCCAATAGGCACCAATATCAGCAACAGTAGACAGCTGAGACCCGAATGATGCAAATGGTTAGACCTTCACCTCTGCATCAAATGTGGAGTATTTTTGAGGCAAACAGAAGCCTGAAGCTTGCTGTCTAAGTGGTAAAGCTACAGCCCTCCATTGTGTAAAAAGGCTCATGAAGCTTGAAGTACATACACAACACGTATTTTAAAGACACAGATTTCTTCAGTCCATTCATTCAGCTGACAACAGTGTAGTAATTAGAAAAAAGCTCCTCCCCTTGATTGATGTCTCTGAGAGTGATAAGCACCACACACCGCGGGTGGCTGCAAAAAAAAAAAAAAAATTTTTAAAAAAAAAAAAAAAAAGGAAAACTAAATCATATGTAAGTGAACTATATTTCCCTTCAATTTTTATTTTTTTTTTTTTAAATTATTCATGGCACAGCACTAAAACAATGGCTCCATCTAGATTACTTTTGGGGGTAATATGCATAATGCATGCCAGGGAGCCTGGGACAACAACACTGCATTATGCATCCCTTTTCCTGCATTTCTAAAAAAAACAAACCTGAGAGGTTTATAGGTGTTCTAATTTCTAAAAAAGGGTATGTTAAATTCAGGACCAACATTACAACTTACTTTTTCATAGAATCACAGAATGTCTGGGCTGGAAGGGACCTCCAAAGGTCATCTAGTCCAACCTCCCTGCCATAAGCAGGGACATCTCCAACTAGATCAAGCTACTCAGAGCTTCATCCAGCCTGATCTTGAATGTCTCCAGGGATGGGGCCCCCACCACCTGTCTGGGCAACCTGTTCCAGTGATCTTTTCACAGCTTCAGAGTTACTCTTGACTACGACCCAGTACGGTACACTGACTTCAGGCATACTGTCTGTTCTTGTTGTCCGTATTGCTCCTTGTACATATTAATCTAACTGTCCCTTTTCCCACATTTCTAAAAAATAAACCTGAGAGTTTCTAGGTGTTCTAATTTCTAAAAAGGGGTGGATATTCAGGTCATAAGGAGGATGTCATAATGGTGTTGTGTAACTAAAAGTCACATACCCTTATGTTGCATAGTATTTCACGCGTCTCAATACAAAAGAATTTCAGGTTTCTTCTTGCATATACATCTGCTCATTCCTTCCATGAGAAGACATGGAAAACGAGAGAGCAAGAAGCCTATCTCAACTGCCACAGAATGGCTTTTATAGGTTAAGTGTCGCTAACTACATTTGAAATATATACTGAAAAAATCTCAGTACTGTAATACAAGCAGAATCTAACTAGTGCTTTATGGGATTCAGGAGATTCACACTATGATGTAACCACTCCTTGTAAAACTGTGTCTTCAGAGCTGTGCTGACCTCATTTGTGAAGATGTTGAAAAAGGAACAGAAAGAGATAGTCTTGTACACGACTTAACACTAGTCTGCCCAAAGAACAGACAAGTATACACACTGTTGTGCAACTCATTTTCATAGAGAATAATATTAGTCTTCAGCCACATTTATCTTCTCTTACATATCCAGTATGCTTTGTATTATACAAATCTGTGAGCTGTTCGATTTGCTGCTAACCTCTCTATGTCATGGCTGTAGACGATGTTCGGAAGATATTGTTTCAGTTCTACTGGGAAGCATCCTGGCACATCAAACTCCTGGTAGCACACGTTGGCTGCTTTTTCTAGAAATACAGAGAAAAAAACAAAAATAAAACAAAACAACAAAACAAAAACAAACAAACAAACCCACAAATGAAAACCAAAACAATAGTCTTTGTGGTACTGAGAAAATCTCTTGGGGCTTAGAGATTTGTAAAAATATCAAACGTGCTGCTGAAAAAGCACTAGGTGCTCCATCAAGACTGAAAACTATGCTTCTGTTGGGAGATACTAAACTCATCTAAAGTCCTGTTTTGAATTTACACAAGAGATACACAAGTAACTATGGGAGCTTTAATTCATCTTTATTGCATTAAACAGGGTGACCCGACTGCCAACACCTCTATGAAGTGGCGCAGATTGTGTAGCGCCAGGGGTAGCTTACAGCACTGCTAAATGTTCTCAATATACAACGTTTACTTTTACAGTTAAAAAAACATACTGAAAAAACATTCCTTGTGGCAAAATAGGCCATAAATACAGCCAAGGAGAAAATCGCCAGCTGTCCAACGGGAAGAAGGGAATTTTCTTTACGTGGACATTGGACCTATAAGAAGCAGTTTTGTGGGACAGCCCTTGCCTCTGTGGCAGTCCACTACTCTGTGCCTGGTTCACTACTCTAGCAGCCTTTCTGGATGCTACCTGGAGGCAGGGTATCCTTAGTGTCATGCAGGCTCTGAAAGCCTCTTAGAAGCCAGGTATCATAGCAGTTCAACTGTCTGCAGCTCACAACCATGCCCATGAGTTATTTATTCCCTCAGATGAACACACACCGTGAGACACAATAAGTGCAATAGCTAGATCCTACCAACAGTTCCCTAGGTTTTGTGCATAAACATAAGAAAGTCTAAAAAAGAACTGTAGTTCAAATGGAACAGTGATAGAATCTTACTGTACATGTCACTGTGTGTATGGTTTTCTCATGAAGCCTGCTGGAACCATACTGGGGAACTTGATCTGCAACTCTTGTCTGCTGACTCAGCCCACCAGTGCTTTGCCAGACATCCTTCCCCACCCTCTCACCTTCTGGGATATGTGCCTTTCATTCTACATACTGAGAGGGAGACTGAGGGAGTCAGTGGGAATAGCACCAGGATATTCAAAGCACTGAAGTATTCTAACATTCAGCTGTCACAGAAAGCTCAGAAATTCTTTATCCCTGAAGTTCTGTTCTTGTTCTAAAAAGGACTGCTGTCCCCCAAGACCAGTATCTGATTTTCTGTGTCACCTCCAAAATAATTTATATCCATAAAGACAAACTAAAGTCCTGGAAATTTACCTGTCAGCTTACCATGTGAGCAGTTGTTCACATACTGTCCCACCGCCAGTGGGTTCTGCAGGGCAGCAGTGAGCCAGCTCTCATCGCTCATCCGAAACGGGCCGAGCTGATCTCTCCTGCTGCAAGACCTGAAATGACAGACAGTGTTCACGTGGATCACTGCTCCATCAGTTAGCAGGTTACCTGTACTTCCTCCTGTAGAAATGGCCACCAGCTCTCCCAGCTTTCCTCTAGGCCCTCTCTAAGTACTGGAAGGTTGCTGTAAGGTCTCCCTGGAGCCTTCTCTTGTCCAGGCCAAAAGTAACCCAAACTCTCTCAGCCTGTCCTCCTACAGGGGCTGCCCAAGCCCTCTGATCATCTGCATAGCCCTCCTCTGGGCCTCCTTGAGCAGGTCCCTGTCCTTCTTACACTGAGGGCCCCAGAGCTGGGCTCCACAGCACTCCAGGTAGGGTCTCACTGGAGTGGTGCAGAGAAGAATCACCTCCCTAGACCTGCTGGCCACACTTCTTGTGCTTATTATTATTGTGGTTACTGCTCCCTCCTTAAGTGCTGCTCATCTGTAGACCAGAAACGAGTTACCAGATTCACCCTCACCCTTTTGGTATTAGCAGGTCCATCAAGAGGTGTAAAAAAAAAAAAATAAAATAAAAAAAAAAAGACCACTACATCCTGCTCCTATTATAATTATTTTCTTTTCAGGAAAGAGACTGCACATTAAAATGCTTCTCATGGGCCTTACAGATGAAGACAAGAAGTACCTAACAGATCACACCCAGCAGCTCTTACCCTCGTGCAGTTTGCATTTCGAGATACACTCAGATGCACGTTATTCGAGTACAACTCAATACGTGGCAAGATGACAGGGAACTGCGCCTATTGGCACCATCATTTTACATCAGTGGAGTGACAATCCCCCCTTTTTTTTTTTTTTTGACTGCTTACCTGTATACCAATCTTGACAGTCCTTTATCATTCCCATCAATCAGGACACCATCTATGCACCTAAAAATAAAGGGATTGCCAAGGGACTGGAAAAAGATGGGTTCATGCTTTCTGTATACTGTACCTGTTGCAAGACAGATAGGATTGTTTCAGAAAAAACAAGCTGACTGTCAGAATGGGCTTATGATATCACCCAGTCCCCTGCAAATAAAAAACTCAAAGGAGACAGAAGGGGTAGGAGAGAACTGTCCATTAAAGGCATTAACACTTGTAAACCTGTAAGCTTTTAGACACATCTTGGTGGGATGCCAAAAAAAATCTACACAAGCTTAGAAACTCCAAAGAGTAGAAGCCACTGAAGGAAAGCATTAAAGAGAAGATCTGTGTACAGTATCCATGTGAGAGGTAGATAAAGCATCAGAGCCCAATGGTTTGTTTCAAAGAGGAAAACATAAGCAATGTCTGTTCAGGAAAGTGCAGCTGAAGGCTATTAGGCTGTTTTGTTACTACTCTGTCAGGATCCTCTGAAAAGCACACAAAGAATTTGAAACACCGCCCTCCACCACCCTGATGAGAGATTTTGTTCGGTACAGGAGAGGGAAAATGCCAAATCAAGAACAGCCAAATAATTTCAGCAAGCTGTTTCCCAAATCTGTGGACAGGGTTTAACCTGCCCTAACCAAGCAGAGAAAAGTGACAGCAGACTGGCTTGCTGTTTTTCATGACATTGCAGTCCTGCATCCCTGACACCCACTGACTGCATCTTCAGCAACCCTCTGCAGAAGTCCTTCTCTTTGCAGTCTCACAAGGAGCTGGGTGAAGGCCCCATTATCAGGCTGCAGACACTGCCCAACAGCCAGGAGAGCACTGACCTGCTCTCTCTGCAGGGTCTCCTGCAGCTTCCATCATGCCCCTGACAGAGGAAGGCATTTCCACAGCTCAACCTCTTCATTTGCCACAGGAGATTCTCTGTGAGATATTTCTATGTGCCCGAAATCTGAAGCGAGCTGCAAGGCGGTGGGATTACTCCTTGTGACTGTCACTTGCCAGTCAGGTCAGTTTATCAGCCAGTGGTAGCGGGCAGAAGCCACTTTTACAGCCGTGCAGCGCCGGCACGGGCCAGGGAGCGCGCCCGGCAGCAGCGCTGCCGTCAGACAGAACAGCTCCAGAGCGTGTCCGCAGAGCTGCCCTCGCCAGGACGCTCTGGCAGAACTACACCCGTTTGTAAGAGGTGTGAGCAAATGCCTTTCCAAGATACAGGAACGGGGAAGCACTCATTTTCCAAACATGCTTTACAGCCTTTGAAAAAGTTAATAGTTTTGTCTGTTGATCTGTGTGTAGCTCTCAAAACCTCACTTTTCAGATCCTTACTTAGAACGGAATCCCCACAAAATCAAAGTGTATTGGTCATCTACTTGAAACTGCTCCCAAGCATTTGTGTTTAAAGAACAGGGAACAACTTTTCTAATAGCTAAAAAAAAAAAAAAAAAAGTAAAAATTAAAAAAAACCCCCAGACTTTAGAGCACTGAAATGTTTGGGATTTTTTCCAGACAAAACTATCCCCTTTTCCCCCAGTATTGGTTTGCTTATTTCCAAAAGAACTCTAGCTAGTTTATACAGAAACATTCCCATTCACTTTAACCTGCGATTTTGTTAACGAATGACAGAAATCAAACCTGTTAAATAAAAATTAGTGTAGAACTTTGGCATTCTATGATTAGAATTGCTAGAAACTACACCCAACTCAATCAGAAAAAAGAAGATTCCATTACCAGGATACAGAGATACAACTGTCCCTTTCGGTACAAAGCCTTTGGTAACAAAGACTCCAGTTCCAGCAGACACCAAAGAACTTTGGTCTCGACTGATAGTGAACCCTAGTGTATTAAAAAGAACTTCCTCTGGACTAAACACGTGCTGACTCTGATGGTTACATGAATTTACTTTTGATTGCTTCTCTTCAACAGTCAGTAATTCCAGGTATTTACATCTGATTTCTGGAAGTAAGGCCAAAATACGTGCTTGTCTACTGAAGTCATTTATAAACAGAGCTTTAAATACTTTCAGTATTGTTTGAAAGACATCTTCATCAGAGATAATTTTGTCTTGAGCGCTCTCAGGAACATATCGGAGAGTCCTGTAGAGAAAAACAAGAAAACTTTTAATATTAGGTTTTTCCCTAAATGAAATACAGAAAAGCCATTTTATAGAAGCAACTTATATGCACCGCTGCTTCAAACAAACCCAAACTCTAATGAATATTCTTTCGTACCTGTCCTACTATAAAACCTTCATCTGTGTATTTGCAGCAAGGCAAGTAGGTTAACCCCCTTTGAGCTCTTAGTGACAAATATACCAAAAGCCAAATACATGTGGTTGGCAAAGTCTATAAAACAGTTATATGTAGTTCATTGCACTTTAAATGAGGCAAGGACAAATACTATGACGACCCGGGAGGTTTTATTTGTGCTACTTATAACAAAGTGATACTCAAGATAATTCAAGTGCTACTTTTACCTTAAATGAAGACGAAGGCGAACACATTTAAAAATAAAAGCAAACCAAACCTACTTATCTAGTTTTTACGTTAAGCGCCCCTTCAAAGTATCCAAGCATTAACAGTTTGACGCCAGCAAACTGACACACGATGCTGAAACGCTTTCGCAAAGCCAGAGAAAAACCCCGAGCTCACTCCCGTGCCGCCCCCGATCACTCCCGAGGAGAGGGGAGCGGGGTCTCGGCCACGACAGCTCCTCGCTGCTAAGGGAAGCTCCCACCCACCTCCACTAGCTACTCCAGGACGAAAATCCCTGAGGGAAACGCACAGTGGTGGCGGGGAGTGGGAAGGGTGCGGAGCCTTTCCCTGAAAAGACCTCTCCGCT